CACACACACTAACTATGGCAACACATAAACATTTTGCAATTAACCATTTAAAAGTTTAGCAATTAACCATTTGATAATCATGCAACGGATAAAAGGTTATATGAGTCGCTACGCTTTATTGTGAACCATCAAATGAATTGACTCAAACGGATCAAAATGTACAATTTAGAAAATTTTGGATCTCTATAGTGGGCCGTATTGGATCACTAACATACAAGATAGCATGACACGATTGTTTTTGGATTTGGGCCGAGATGGGTTATTACACACAACAAACAGGGAATTAATGGCACCCCTTATCACTTCTGTTTACATAATTAACTCAACATATTATTTAGCCAATATCACTTCTTTTGTTTCCATTTATACTTGTTTTGTGGACGCTATTAGGATTTAAAATTAGACATTTATTAAGTGGTAGTTTTCTCTCTTTTATCTTTATTAATTCTCTGTCTCGTATCATCTTTCTTTCCATCTCTTTTCTCTCTCTTATTTCCTCTGTCAAATAACAAGACCAAGGAAATATATGTTAATAGAGGGTTGAACATAAAAGCGAAAAGAAAAAAGCAAAATAAAATCAAACTATTCTGATTCTAAAATGTATTTTCAGCTGGACCATTAGCTTTAGACCCCATTTCTTATATTTCAATCCACGCCTCTTTCCATTTATGCAAAAAACCCAAATATTGGAAGAGTGAAAAGACCAAAGAAAACGAGGTTATCTTCGTACACTAAGCAGCAAAAACCCATAAGGTGGAAGAGGGAAAAGACCAAAGCAAACGAGGTTATATTCGTACACTAAGCAGATCAATTTCGTGTATCAGCCATGAGTTCGGTGGAACATCTTCTCCCAATGCGTTATCTCCAAAACTGATACAACAAGCAAAAAAAATGTTACATAGATGTAAACTGCAAATCGAAAAAAAAAAATGCACTCTTCTTGACAAAAATTCAACATGGATAGAAGTTACTGCCTTTGAAAAATTCAAAACATACTCCATTGAAGGTGGGACGATAAGCCTCCTCTTTCCACCAACACGCATACCATCTATGCCAACATTCCAACCATCAATGAATTCTTCATAGCCCAACCGAAAACACAGAGCATCTTTACCAACATTCGAATAAAAAACATGCCTCGTGTCCCTCACCATGACCGTGTAATAAACTTTGACCTTTTTACCAAGTGCAGCTACTTTAGTATCAGGTGGTCCACTTTTTAATTNTGGTTTGTTTTAGACTTAGCCCTGTATCTGCACTCTGATGGTCAGTTGCCATGTGCGTGGTTTCAGTAATATTAGGTTCCACATCAGGTGTGTCCAGGTTCAAGTTCTCATTGGATGGTATTTTCTCTTTCTTTTTCTTAATCCCTCCGTCAGGCTGACCATAACTAGCTAGTATATTCGTATTGACTGTGCTGATGATGTTATCAATCTGTAGGTCTTGATTTTCTCCCCTTTCTTTTTGAAGATCATCCCTAGAGTTGTCACCATATGGCAATACTCGCACCGACTTACCCTCTTTTGGTATCTCCTGGTATTCTTCACCAATTTCTTTTGTAAAATTTTGTCTAAACCCAATTGTTCTTGAGTCCGGTTTTCAGCATGCTGTAAACCAGACCATAGGTCTTGATTTTTTCCTTTTTCTTTTGAAGATCATCCCTAGAGCTGTCACCATATGGCAATACTTGCACTGAGTTACCCTCTTTTGGTATCTCCTGATATTCTTCACCCATTTCTTCTGTATGAATTTCTTCTAACCCCAGTTGTTCTTGAGTCTGGTTTTCAGCATGCTGTAAACCACATTGATTGTCAGTTCCTTTTACACTTATTCCTTCCAGTTGCAGTTCATTCTTTCTCTTCTTTGTTAGATCATCATTGGAATTTCCAATATTAGTGAAGGCCTCAACCTCGTGCATATTATCCTTTGCAAGAACAATGTTGTTATCCTTGGCTGCTTGAATGGTGTGGGTTTTTTCCTCCTTTTTTGAGCGCTTTTTTATTTTCAAATTCTTTTTTGAGTGCCTTTTTCTTTTCATTTCTGAATTTTGACTTTTCACCGACCTTACACCCAAATCATTGAGCGGACATACGCCTTGAAGTTTTTGGATGTAATAACCACTGAGGTACACACTTTATGGGCCAGTAACAGAAAACACCACATGATCAGCTTTTTGTACGTGGCGTGGAGATAGATTAACAGTTTTCTCTGCAAACCCTAGAGAGAGGAAAAAAAAACATTGTCCCGCCTTTTGCCTCTCTGATTTCCTCTTCTTCCCGTCACTTTTCTCTCTATCTTATTTCATCTTTTTTTTTTTATCCCGTCTATTTTATCTCCTCGGTCCAATAATCATGTCGACTACACCCATAAAATTGTGATGCAATTTTCGACGCCCTAGTTTCTTCGATTCTACGGCGGCTGACTCGGAGCCAATTTTCCAGTGATATTTCCCAATGGATGATTCGATGCCGTCTACGGCCTCGGAGGGGAAGGATTCACATTACGGTGACTCTGCTCGCAGCTGAAAAAATTTCAGGTAACTGTCACTCTCAATTTCATCTTCATTTTTTTCTCCCTCTTTCGATTTCTTTACAAAAATTTTAAGGTCTTTTTACTTTGCTTTTTAGTGACGTTAGATGACTAATTGTCTGGGGCGAAAACGGCAATTGATTTGGGATTTTTTTGTCAAATTGAACAAAAAATTGATAGTTTTTCTGTGGATGTGGTGCTACTAAATATTAGGATCTGGGGTTCAGTTAAGACAATTTTTTTTAGATTAATTTAGTTTTCTATTTTCTTGTGATGAGATTCGTTTGTGGGTGTTTACATTAATTATTTGATTATTTTTAGTGAATGAAGTTGTAATTTATTGTGAATTATGTTTACTCTTCCAGTTTTGGTTTTCTTGTGTGTGTGGAGATTGTATGTTAAGATCAAACATGGTGTCGTTGTATATTGATTATTCTGAATTGTTCTGCAGTACCAGTTGTTTACATGTTACTTGACTGTTGTTATGTTATAGTAACTGTTGTTTTCATGTTGCTTGAATGTTGTTATGTTATTGTTTTGTTGTTACATTGAGGTTTTNCTCGACCGTCAGGAAAACCGAACAAACGACGAGCACGCCCTCGCCCCCAACTGGTGGACCCCCTTCAAATACAAGCTCGTCGAGATCCTAACCGACGACCGAGACGGCTCTGTGTTCGGCGCCGTACTCGAGTGGGACCGCGCATCCGCCCTCGCCGACTTCGTGCTCCTTCGGCCAACCGGGGCCCCACGAGCCATCCTAGCCCTCCGTGGCACTCTCCTGAAGGGCCCCACGATCAGACGAGACATAGAGGACGACCTCCGGTTCCTGACCTGTGAGAGCCTCAAGGGTTCCGTGAGATTCGAATGCGCATTAAGAGCACTCAGACAAATATCCGAGAAGTTTGGGAGTAGCAATGTGTGTGTGGCCGGGCACTCTTTGGGTGCCGGTTTCGCGCTTCAGGTGGGGAAGGCCCTGGCGAAGGAGGGTGTGTGCGTGGAGACGCACTTGTTTAATCCTCCGTCGATTTCGCTAGCTTCGGGGCTGAGGGCAGTGGGGGAGAAGGCTGGGAATGTGTGGAGGAAGGTTCGGTCGATGATCCCGAGAAGGAATGATGAGAGGGAAAATGACGAGGAGGAGGTTGTTAAGATGTGTGGTGGTGATGGTGTGGGGAGAGTAAAGTGGGTCCCGCACTTGTATGTGAACAATAGTGATTATATCTGCTGCTATTATAGTGACCCGGTGGAGATGGGGAAGGAGGAGGAGGAGGAGAAGGAGAAGGAGAAGGAGCAGAAGGAGGAGGAGGAGGAGAAGGAGGAGGAGAAGAAGAAGAAGAAGAAGAAGAAGAAGAAACGAGAAAATAGAAGAAAGAGAGAAAGAAAGGAGATTGAAAAGAAGAAGAAGAAACGTGAAAATAGAAGAAAGAGAGAAGGAAGATAGAGATAACTGTTTGTAACTTCCCAATGTAGTAGTTAATAATTATCTTGTATTGTTTTGGAATGAATTCAAGCAATTTGAGAATTCTCTCAACTAAGTTATTTTTATGGAAATAGATTTATAACTGGTTAGTTATGTCTTTTGGTCCACAACAAGCCTGTAACAAAGAACTCAAGTCATAGATAGTATTGTGTTTTATCTTTCATCACTTTTATTTGTACTTGACTCCCACTTTAGACATAATTATTAGCATTATTATTTTAGTGAAAACTAATTGATTCAATTAGGCCACCTATAATGTGATCATAGTAGTATTATTAGTTACTTAATCAATAATGTACACAAATGCAATTGCTAGGCTGCAACACAGTTATGTAACCATAATTTATTATAAAATGCATATTTATACTGTGAAATATCATACTTTTATTCGTATTATATTTCAAAAGTATAAAAAATTGAGTATGAAAGTGTTTATATTTGTTAGAAAAGTATGACCGTCTAACTATAATAGACCGCCTAACAGAAGACTTACCGATGATTTTATAATCAGTTAATCATAGTAGTATTAATATCTACTACTCAATAATTTCATATTAATTATGTTGTGTGGGGATTTTATTTTATTAAATTTAGTTAAATAAATCTATAAAATAATTAAATATCGAATATAATTTTATAATAATAATTTCATTTTTATATTCTTTTTCATATTTAATTTAGATAGACATTACGTTGTATGTGATGACAATTATATCACATTTTTACACGTATTATTCATGAATAGAATGTAACATGACATTGGAAATTTAATTCCGAATAATTGTTTTCATCAATTAATTATATTACACAATATAATATGGTTGTCTTAAAGCATGGAGATAATAATTATTAGAACTTAGAAGGACAACATATGAATATAAGATAGACAGATTTGAGAGATAATAATACATAAGACACGAGTTATTTTTTTTTTAATTTTTTTTTTTTTTAAAAAAAGCAATATATGTATTTGTAAACAGATAAAATTAGTTGCGTCATTTCTCAAGGTTGGCTTGTCTTGCTAAATCCCACCCGGCAACTGTTTTATTGCATTGAACCTTTTGCATGTAGTTTGCCACTGTATATATGGTGATGTTGGCTTGGCAAAATTTAATGCTATTACATAATAACAATAATAATTTATAATAATAATAATAATAATAATATAGTAATAATAATAAATTGTAGGGCAGGGGGAAGGTAGAGGAAATATTGTCGCTTTTAACATTTGGTATATAAGACATTAGCTTACATCTCTATTGCATCATCCAAATCCCACCTAACCCAACATATATGATGCAAGGCTTCTTCTCCTTTATTTTATTCTTTTATTTTATTTTATGTTAATTATTACATATTTGGTCCCCAAAGATTTAGGCCTTCACAACATTTGAAACACTCATAAAAGGAATATACAAATAAGCTTAGATTATCACAAATATGCTAAATGAGATTCAAATT